AATAAATGTATAAATAGTTAAAGTTTATTTTGTAATAATAAATAATAAATTAAACCACCTTTGATCCACAAACAGCTTGCCGTATAACAAATTTACACCCACTAAAAATGTCTTAAAAATGACAGTTTCCATTGAAACTTTGTGGCATATATAAAAATATTAAATTTATTTAAGATCGTTTAGTTGCATACATACATATTACCAACATAAGTAGTTTTGGAGTTATGGTGTCATAGTTGCTTTTAAATAGAGCCGAAGAAGGAAGCAAATTTTGTCAATTGTCAAAATGTTGGATATATGATAGATGCAGACAGATTGACACTAGCAAATTTAAATTTTGAATAAAACAGACAAAAATATAAAAAAAAAAGTACTGATGTATAGTATTCTTTTGTATGTCCATTAAAATTGCTTATTCCAAGTACTTTTAAATGTTTAGCATGAAATTTAAAAATTTTAACCAAACGTATGTCTACAATTGTGTAATCGTCTTATCTAATAACCTGGAAAGTTAGAGGTAACACTTTTTGAATTATATTTTTTAATAAATTGATAAATGAAAAAACTCTTTTTCATATAAGCTAAAACGTAAGTAATATAAAAAACCATTAATAATTAAATTAACACTACACAAGAAAAAAAAATGTAGTCACGTTTAATTTTAATTAACGACTTAGTTTAGAGAAATGAATATATAATATATAAAGTTATTACGAAAAATATATTACAAGGTAAATTTTGTATATAAGTAAATAGTTGGAAAGTATATTTATAAATATGACCTTTATTTATTTATTTAATGTTTAAATATATAAAAATGTATGTTTTAAATAAAAAAAATTATTTTCAATATAATACGGCTCTTCTGGATTTTTATTTTTAATGACACAAATGCGCGAGTAATAGTTACGCGAGTAATAGAATTATACTATATAGATATATTCTCTGGTGTGTTATAAGATAAACATTAATACGAATAAAATGTATGTTCTTGCATACGAAACACCAACATTTACGTACTGCATGGAATGCATATATACACCACAGACATTGACCAACTTTTCCAGAAGAATAATGTAGTATACTGCGTTGCATTGTTTCTTCTATGTTTTAACAGTCTATGTTTCTGATGGAACACTGCTTTGCTAAACGCTACACAACCATATAGAAGTGACGGACGAATTATTTGGTTATATATCAGTTTCCTGTTCTTAGCATTGAGATTTTCTAAATAGTAGTTGGAGGTAATGAAGAATTTTGGCACAGCTAATTCTTTTCAGTTGAACATGTTTAAGCCATGTGAATCGTTTGTCCAACGTGATGCCGAGATATTTAACGCTATCCTCCCAGTTTATCACCATATCACCCACACTCACTCTCGACGGATTCTGTCTCCACTTATGCGTTATAAACAGAGCCTTAGTTTTTTCATTATTGATTTTTATTTTCCATTTCTGAAAATACTCCAGAATGAGGTTTATATGCTCTTGAAGTGTGTTCGTTATGTTGAGAGCACATTTATCTGAGTATAGCATACACGTATCGTCAGCATATAACGCCAGAGTCGAGGGACCTAACATTGGAATATCAGATGTATAAATGTTGTAGAGAGTGGGGGAAAGTGGCGATCCCTGAGGAACCCCTGCTTCTATAGATCGGACTGACGAGAGAGCGCTGTTGATTTTGTTTATCTAAATATAATGTATAGGATATATATTAGGGTGCCATTAAGGTATATGGGCAATTTTTTTTTGTAAAATCGGATGACGGCACCTCCCAGATCGGTTCATTTTACTAAAAAAATAATCTGTGTAAAATTTTAGTTCAATTGGATAAGTGGAAATGGTGCCCCAAGAGCCTCAAAGATTGGAAAATAATGATTTTTTCCATAAAATTCATCTTTGATTGTTTATATCTCCGATATATTTAATTTTACATAAAAACTGTCTTCCTACAACTTATAGATCTATTAAAAATAAACAATTCACTCATACAAAGCTTTTCTGTATTTCTAATAGTTATTGAATAAAAGCAAATACAAGCTGAAATCCCCCTATTAAATTTAGGTAAGTTCAATGAATGAATTGTCTACTAAATTTGCTAGAAAATAAGTCCAATACTTGTATAGTAATATACATAAGTGAGTTTCTGTATTATTCATTGGAATGCGAAATGAATTTTAATTCAAAGTGATTACATTAAAAAGTGTACAAGTCTGAAAGCCCAAATGTTGAACTATTTCAACGATTTCAGAAGTTTTGGCCGAAAATAAACGTTGATAAGTTTACAGTCGGCTTAGAAAATAAAAAAGTAAGAAAATCGTTAAATATGGATGATGTGTTACGAATTACAAGTTTCCTTTATAAGATTCGTAAGGATAACCAACCAAGAGATGATTATAAGAAACTTCTGGAACTTGCATTAATGTTTTCATGGTTTAATGCTTTGTCATCAGTCAAAGCTCATTTTCAAGATTTTAATCTTCTTTCTATTCTCAGTCTATATCAAAAAATTGTATTTCGTATTTAAGCTTAAAGCTTGTTCATTTTGCTTTTTTGGATTTAAATTTATCACCTGAGACAAAGAAAAAGATGGTTTCAAATTTGAATATAGATAGTGATGACAAGGAAGTCAGGAGAGTATCAATAGATCGCGCAAAAATAACTGAAGGTAATAAGGATACTTTGCTCCAGCAACTTTAACTAAAATAATAAAAATTATGTCGGACAAACATAAAATTAGTACTTTTTTATTATTAGAAAGATTACATTTTGGAAATATTGAATTTATTTTAAATTTTTTAGAAATATTGAATTTTTTGTAAAGCAGAAGCGGACAATTACATTCATAGCACTTTCAAAGCTAGCAATCGGGTGACTTCAACTTATTTTTTGTTTTATTCAATAACTATTAGAAATACAGAAAAACTTTGTATGAGTGAATTGTTTA